ATTGATGAAAAATTGTATGAATTAAGAGGAACTAGGCAACAAGTTAGCGATGATCTGACAGAATCCGAAAGAAGTTGTCGTCTGGATCATCTTAGATGGGGACCTAAATTCGAATCCAGCTCACAATGTCTATATTTTGAAGCACATGAAAGATATGGTGTGGTGAACCATTGCAATGAATTAAATGGTTGCTTAATAATGATGGGCAATATTCGAGATGCTTTTTTTAATTACCACAAGCATTAGTCAACAAGTAACGCTCGTCGCTGTGCGATTCGCTTAACCCTGGATGGAAGATTTAGAGGCACCGAAATCTATTCTAACTGGGTGTGGGTGTGTGGGTGTGGGTGGGTGTGGCTGTGGGTATCGGTGTCGGTGCATGTGTGGGTGTGAAGAAGAGTAGGTGTTGTAGTGAGTGTTCTCTTCACCCACACCCCCATCGCCACCCACACCCGCACCCACACCCATACCCTCCATAATTTTATCTCAATCATGAATAAGAAGGATCTATTTGTAGATCATTAGTCAGAACAGAATGATAAATATGAAAATATATAGTCTAGTTCTGAAACAGAAAACATCACGGGACCAGTTTTAGCAAGTTTTTAATCCCGGTTCCGTAAAAACTAAAATTTGATCCCGATCACAATCCCGACAGGACTGGGACCAGGATCAGTTTGCAAACTCATAGTTACTATCTACGGACATGAGAAAGAAGACATGGTGTTCGGAATAGAGTTCTTAATAGCAAAAGTCAATGAAATATAACAAAAAACCCCATGTTCGGAATGAAATTTTATCCATGAGTTCGGGAAAAACTCTGAAAACCCATTGTTAATGATTGAACAGCGAAATTTTGTCTGGAGATCGGAATGAGAAAGTCCGAAAGTTCGTAATGACACAGACAGGATGGTTGTAATGAAAACTTCCGAACACTCTGTCACACCATTCCGATTTCTCTGCTTTTCTATTACGATCTCGCGTACAAAAATATTTACGAACTTCGGTCATAGATCTTTAAGGACAAAAATTCATTTTCGAACGCCTGGACACATGTTCGGAGTTCGGTATGATTTAAGGCGAAAAGTACGTCATCCAGATAATCATATTAATAATGGATCTAGTTTCCATTTATCGAGACAGGATATTTCTCAATTTAGGTGATTTATCGAACGACAGTCAACAATGGCTGCTGCTAACAACAATCAGCGAAAGAAGATATCTACTGAAGAAAGGCTTCCATATAAATTTTGTGAAACACGATCTGAAAGGAGTGTTCAAGTGTTTTGGGGTAGAAATGTGAACCCCCGCCCATAGGCCGTGACAGACAGGGGTTTGGAACCATGATAGACCATGACAGACAGACTTCAGGGGTCATCATAGACTGATAGAAGATTTCAAGGAAATATCAGAGATTATGTATAACTAACATATAATTGGAGCATATATGGAGTATTGTCCCGTTCAAGCTCTATAATGTAAAGTAAGCCATGATGAAGAAATGTTCGCCAATGTGCATAAAAAAAGAACAATTTTTAGAAGATTGGCAACAACAGCTACATCGTGTTTCACATTTTAATCCCACAGGGATTGCGCTAACAGCTTTTTTTCTATTTATTTTACTTGTCAGTTACCCTTACAAAATATAATTCAGAACAAAGCAAAAATCAAACTCGAAGGATACAAAACCACTCATGCTGTTACACCAAGAAAAAACGCTGATTAACAAAAGGAAAGTACCATTGCACAGCACAAACATAGAAAATATTG